TATCTAATCAAAACCAACTTAACTTATACTGGAACAAAATCCATAAAGGCCTTATTAAAGCAGCTACTAAACATATTTCTTTTAAGAAAATCAATACAATCAAAGAAATTCAGGACAAACCTACTACAAAAAAATCTTTACTCTTTTATAGATACAAACAAATACAATATCTCAAAAACCACTTCTCCTCATCTAATCTAAACTCCCTTCTTCACAATTACCAATCCCAATACCCTAAAAACTTTCTTCCATCCAACAACCCAACAATTTTACAAATCAAAACCGAATTTCTACTTATCAAAACAGCACTTAGGCCATATTCATTATGGATATTAACGATATTAGGCATTTCTTATTATGGTTGGACCCAAATCACGGGTATATGTAGATCTCTAAAAATAGAACAATACACTCTTGTACTATGTGATTTGTTTTTTGTCATATAATATGTTAGTTAGGTAATACGAAATAGAGTTTGGAACCAGTTTTATTTTTCATATGTTAAGCCTGGTTTTAATTGGTTTTCCAAACTCTAATATGAAATTTTCTTTAAAATGTTATACGTAAGTATTTTAGGTTATGGGTTAACTTCCCAAAATCATTTTTACTGAAATACCATTTCACAGATGCCATAATACTGACATCCCATTTCACTAACAAGACATAATTCTAAAGTCTCATTTTTACCGAAATATTATTTAATTGATAATAAATTTTAATGAGGATATCAGAATTATGGAATGATATTTCGGGAATGTAGGTTTCAGAAAAGTGAGAATCAACGCTACATACTTCCTTCACTAAGTTAGCAGCTGTGTATCCCCGCACTGCTCTGTGAAGAAGAAATAGCTATGTATACTCAATACTGTTCTGAAAAAGTGATTTAAAAAAAAAATCAAGTTAATATTGAACCTTAACTGCATACTATTGCTATCAGTATAGCAAATTCTGCAACAAAATTTTTTATAGCAACTCATGACAAAATTACAATATTAAAAAATAAAGCCAAAATTTTAGTCCCCACTTAGCTGTCCTCTCATATATGTTTATTTCAGTTTTGATAAAATGATTCAAGATCTGCCAAATAAAGAGCTTCCGAAGTGTTTTTTTATTTAGTGAGAACTAGTATTAATGAGTAAGAAGAAATATTTAAATTAACATTTAACTTTTACGGAAATAACAATTATAAATCAATTATTCGAATCATTTTTTAAGCCATCTGATCAGTGATTTATTTCATTCAATGAGTGACAAAATTTGTAGGAACTTGGGGGATTAGTGAACCCAAAATTTCGATCTGTGATCGCTGCAAACATACATTAAAAAATGATGCAGATCTGATCACTAGATCACGAGAGTTTTGGCTGTAAAAATTGTACGTACGTACGTACAGTACGTACGAAGTTCTTTATCTCAGATGAATTGTGTATATAAAAATTGGTATGTTGTTTATTATTATTAAAAAATATAGGTAGTGCTTTGCACTACCTGTCATGATAGTATTTAAATGGTAAAGATATATCATTCAATAAATAAACTATAAGGTATTTGAAGTTATTCAAAAATATTTTATTAAAAAATTTCATATACATTACATTTTAAATGAATTTAAACGTATATATACTTAAAATCGTTAAAAAAAAAAGGTTAAAAAAATATAAAGATTGTTAAAAAAAAATTTTTAATTAGGATAGGGCATCTAACATATATAGGGTATATGCTTTATGTACTTTATCATTAGATTCACTATGCTTATAGTTTATTTCTAATTCTTTTACTCTTAACTCTAATTCTTTTAATTTTTGTTCAAAATGCTCTTTTATTCGTTTTTCGAATTCAAATTTTTCATTTTCAATTTTAATCCGAGCATCAACTTTTTTTTTTAGTTTATACTCTAAATTTCGTAATTTTAGATCCCCTTCTCTATAATCTTTTTCTGCTTTAAGTTTATCACGCTCAATAGGACAGACAGAAAGAATGACTGCCAACCTACTTTTCTAATCCATTGTTATGCAAAAAAAAGAATAACTTTGCATAGCCTTAAAATTAGTGATTGGACCCGTCAAAAAAAACGCCACCCGGGTCACCCGCGGGTGGACCCATGAGCCACCCGGGTAGAACCCAGGTGGGTTAAAAAAGCAACCCGTCGGGTGGATTCATGAGTCATCTGGGTGGAAATAGTACAGCTGTTTTCATAAATTCCGGAACAACTAAAAAAATTGCCGATGACCGAATCGATAAGCTTCCGAAGTCAGTTATTTATTGATTCCGACTCGGTAACTTATCAATTCGGTCATCGGCAATTTTTTTAGTTGTTCCAGAATTTATAAAAACAGCTGTAAAAATAAAATAGTAATTTTATTTGTATCGGTTAGAAATTTTATCAAAATGGTAACGTTTAAAATTTTACCTCCGATTCATTGAATGAGTGTCTATTCTAATAAAAACCCATTTTGAAAGTTTTTTTTACAGCTATTTTCATAATTTCTGGAACACCTGCTTATTACCCGAAATCTTTTTGATCATTTGGTAAATTACCTAACCCTTCGGAAACTACATCGCTGTCTTCAGACCTTCAGTCCGGAGGCAGTGATGTAATTTCCGGAGAGTTAGGTGAATTGCCAAATGACCAAAAAGATTTGGGTAATGAGTAGGTGTTCCAGAAATTATGAAAATAGCTGTAAGAAAAAAAAAACAATTACAGCTGTTCTTATAAATTCTGGGACACCTAAAATTTTCTCGTCTCCTGAAACCTCTTCGATCTTGTTTTTAGAATCATTTTAACTTTTCGAAAACTACTTCGCTGTCTCCATATCGAAGTTCCAAGTACAACAAAGTAGTTTCCGAAAAGGTAGGCGATTCTTAGAATGAGATCGAAGAGGTTTTCGGGAAACAAGAAAATTTTTAGGTGTCCCAGAATTTATGAAAACAGCTGTAATATACTTAAAATCGAAATTATTCTTCACGGGTCACCCGTTGGGTGACCCACCCGCTTCCACCCGGGTGGCCAAAATTCCACCCGGGTCACCCGTCCACCCGCGGGTGACCCGGGTGGCACCTATCCGGGTCCAATCACTACTTAAAATATGAACATGAATTCTATTAATTTAAAGTAAATTTAAAAAAAAAAATTCAACCAACTGACCTAATTTTGCCTAATGGCTGAATCAGACCATAATCTATTATCATCATCTTCAGTTAGTGGTCGTTTATTTTTTCCCTTAATACTTTATGATAATGGAATAACTAGTGTCAATGGGCAAAGGGCAGAAACCAATCACCCACAAAATAAACACACACCCAACCCACTCTCATGGTGTTGTTTTGGCAAAGTAAGCCAAAATAGATTATACAGTGGTTGAGAGAACGATTTTATTTTTTTTATGACAACATTCAGTTGTTCTTTGTTAAGGGCAAACAAGCCCATTATATATTAAATTTTACATGCAGGGAACAAAAGAAAAAAAGAACTTTTCTAGTCTAAGCCAAGCCTGCCACATCATGCCATTTTTACAGCAATTATTGCTTTGCCTCCTCTGGCTAAGCTTTTGGCACTGCCCAAGCCTGAATTGTTTATGCTGCCATAATTCCGATTCTTCTTTTCTTCGTGGCTTGTGGCTTCTCAAGATCGATTTCTTTGCGATTTCGTGGTGGGTTCTTCGGTGCTCTTTCATCACGTTTTCGGGTCTCATGACGGCAAATTCGACGCAGCGAATTTCGGCGGTTTTGCTGCCAACACTAGATCATCATCAGATGAAATACATTCCACAGCAGGTAAAGTAGTACTAGACGAACTCGCTTGTTCTGTAGGCAAAAAATCAAGAAAATAAATATGTTGAGAAGTTGGTAAATGTTGCACGTTGTTATCAATACGGAATAGGAGTTGAAAAAGATATAAAAAAAGTATTCGAATATTATCAAAAATCAGCAGACTTACAACAAGCTGATGGAACATATAATCTTGGACGCTGTTATGAAAATGGAATAGGAGTTGAAAATTATATAAAAAAAGCATTTGAATATTATCAAAAATCAGCAGATATGAGACATGCTGATGGAATATATAATGTTGGACGTTGTTATGAAAATGGAATAGGAGGTAAAAAAGACATAAAGAAGGCATTCGAATATTACAAAAAATCAGCAGACATGAGACATGCTGATGGAATATATAATGTTGGACGT